TGACAGAGAAGTAGCACTTAGAACTTTTAGATAACTGCTTTATTTGACCTTTAGTCAGTTGCTTTACAAAACTCTTTTGGTTAAAAATCTGTCCCAGAATTCTCTACTATACTCAATTTTGTCAACAGCTGTTCAGTCTTTTCAAAATGAAATATATCTAACTCACCCACTTTCTGATGTTATATTCATTTAACAGTAAGAGGTTGAAAGTAGATTTAAGCAATACTCATTCTCTTGATTATTAAGGGAAAAAAATTTAAAACTTCCAACAAACTCCAACGAAAGTATAGCATTTCCAGATCAACACGATAGCAAAGATCTATACCTACTAAATATTAAAAAGATTATGCAGTACCGATAGCAACTCCTATACCCTACACTTTTCCATACGTCTGCAGGGGAAGCCAAGAAGGACCGACACATAAAATTGTGGTCGCTATGAATAGCAAGATAGGTAACTCCCAGCTGCCTCTTTATCCTTCTCCCAAGTAGGTCACAGATGAAGAAATATGAAAGGTTTGGCATATCTAATCTCACATGGTCATCACTACTACTTGACAATCACTTAATTACCTCACCTTGACTTATAAAGCATTCACCCTGACAGCTTTAACAAACTGGCATACATCTTCCTTACTCTAGCACAGTTGCCTTCAACTTAGAAGGTGTAGTAAAGCCCAAATGGGAAAGCTTTTGCAAATGACATGTCTGTTAATCACTGCTGGCATCTGCCTTCATTATACTACAATATTATTATGTGCCTATTTGGGAGAACAAGCCAGAATCTCTATTTGAAAAGGTGACTTCCCTGTGGGTAGAGATCTAATCTTATTCATTTCTGTACCAGCACTAAACCTAGTGCCTAACATACAGCAGGCACTGAGTGAAGACTGCTAAATTAAAGTGCAAATAGTTGAAATAGTTTATTAAGGTAACCAGTTTCAAATCCAAATGCCTCTTGTCACTTTATAACTTCTGCAGAATTTTCACAACATTTAGGCAATATGTTAGAGTGTTTGAAAGGAAAGACTATGGATCTAAATTAGTGTGTTAGAATATGGGATCCTCTGCCAAACAGAAGCTCTTTACCTTTAGGCAGAAGTTACTGGACCTCTTTGTGCTTCAACTTTCTCATCTATAAAAATAGACATAATAAAAAGTTCTCCCCTCATAGGCTTTATTGACAATCAAATGTCAGTATCTATAAAAAGCTAAGAAGAGTGCTTACAATAGAGCAAACACTTCATAAATACGAAGTAAACATTTTGTTATCATTATTATTAAACCCCATACTCAATAACATGTTGCTTGGTTTTTGTGACCTTGTCCACCATCATTATTCTCCTCTTTGACATCTTCATTGCCTCTTATCACTTTTGTTCTCTAAATGTGGGGGTTTCACTCAAAGTCTATCCTCACTGATTTTTGTAGGTCTCATCTTTGGTATTTAACCCCTAAAGCTTAAACTACTGTTGGAACCTTCACTGTGTTCTCCCGTGTGCCAACTCAACCTCCTCAGTTGAACAATACAAACTTAAGTCAAACTGGCAAATCTCCTCATTTCCCCCAGATATGTGAAAACCTGAGGAATTAGGAAATGTGATGACCTTCAGAGAGTATAACTCTAAGATGAGCCCAAGGCAGTCCCCAGAAAGAGAATGGATCCAATGTTAGTAGAACTAAACATCCTTATCAGACTTTAGGATTTTATATATCAGAAGAAAATGCATGGCATTCTACAATGGTCTAGGCAAGTAAACTATGAAAATATAGAAAGAATTGTATCCCAGAGGCTCTAGAATTCCAGGAAGGACTAAGTCCAGGCAGCAGAAGGGGAAATGGTCTGAAGATGGAATCTTACAGTGAAGTAAGACTTACTCTGAATGTTCTTAGGGCATACCAGACATTCAGCGTGTTTTGCTTAAAAATTCACTTAATTTAACTCTACTTGTTCTGAACCCATAATTTGCTATATAAATTTTTGTTATGGGTCAGCTTCCCATGAAGGTTTCCCTCCAAAGAAAATGTTTTAATCATATGAATATGTTTATTTCTAATTCCTGTTTTGATTTTTCAAGATGAATTAAAGTAACTTTAAGTTATGATTTGGGTTTCCACAGACCTTGATTATAGGCAGAGCAAGCACTGACTTTGCCAATATGAATATTCTCTGCAACAAGTATATTTTATATTGTGAATTAAATGATTAAAAGCATGAACTCAAGCCAAATGGATGAATCTGAATCCTGGTCCTGGTATCTTTTAGTTTGTGACCACAGGCATATTGTATGATCTCTTTATGCCTGTTTCATAATCTTCAGAATGGGGATTATGATAATACCCACTTCACTGGGTTGTCATGAGGAATAAAAGAAAATATGCAAAACAAGTAGAATCTGTTTTGCACATAAAGTGCTCAGTCAAAGGCAACTGTTATTATCTCAGTCTTACCTACATTTTGGTTGACTGAAATTGGTTTGTGGTAGTGTATTCTTGGTATGTACAGCTCCAATCCAGGTTCCATCAGATGAGATCCTGACCAGCTCCAACTTTTCCCTTACACTATTAAGTTCTTGACCTAAGGGCTTACAATGAACTTTATAATTTTGTGGAAAACTGCACACAAATGAATGGTGTGTATTTTTTTTAAGACAGGAACCAAAGCTTTGATCAGCTCCACAGTTAAATACATGATACTGAACTGATTTTCACAAAACAAAACCTACTGCCTTAGCATTACCGCTACCATCCGTTTTATCTCCTCTTAAATGATTCCTACTGTCTGCCCTGGTTCCACTCAACAAATCATAATATTAAAAATTATCTCTCTATAATGTTATTCCATTATAGTACTTCCAATTTTCAATACTATCAGATTACTTCTTAAAAATAACTGTAATGCTATCATTTTCTCTGCTTATCATGGCCCAAATAGCTTAGCTGGGCATTGAAGCTTCTACAGCTTGATCATAATTTACTTTTCCAGCCTTGTTCTCCATTCTCCTCCACAAAAGTCTCTAAAGGAGTCACTAGACAATGAAGAATGCCATGAAGCTTTATTCCACAGCTCATGTTACTGTGTGGAGAATATCTTTTCACTACCTTCTATCCATCTTCAATATCACTTCCTCCAGGAGCCCAATGCCTTTCTTCGACAGTCCCTATTTTCAACATGTAAGGTCCATTAACACTGGTGCATGCAACTATGTATCAGGGTTTCTAAACTTCAGCAATACTGACATGTCTGGTTGGATAACTCTTGGTTGTGGAGGGAAAGTTGTCCTATGCAACCCAGGATATTCAGCAATATTTCTGGCTTTCAGACATTATCAAATGATGTGGGGGTGGAGTCACTTCTGGTTAATAAACTCTGATACAACATAACAAATACATTTAATTTCTCCTGCTAAATAATAAATTCTTTGAAAACTGTCTTTTATATTCTAAATATATCTGAATATGAACGATTTGGATAAATCTTTGTTCTCTCCTAAATTCTCTTAAATTAGTGAACAGAACATCTGTTATGCTTTGGATGTGAGATGTCCCCCAAAAGCTCACATGTGAGACAATGCTAGAAGTTTGAAGAAGAAATGATTGAGTTATAACCGCAACCTAATCAGTGAGTTAATCCCTATGGGATTATAGGGATTAACTGAGTGGTAACTGGAGGCAGGTAGTGTGGCTAGAGGAAGTGGTTCATTGGGGGGGTGTGGCTTTGGGGTACATCTTTGTATCTGGCAAGTGGAGACCTCTCTCTGCTTTCTGATCACCATGTGAGCTGCTTCCCTCTGCCACATTCTTCTGCCATGTTGTCCTGCTTCACCTTGAACCGTGAGGAATGGAGCCGGCTGTTTATAGACTCAGACCTCTTAAACTGTGAGCCCTCTAATAAACTGTTCCTCCTCTAAGATTACTCAGGTCGAGACTTTCAGTCACAACAGCAAAAAAAACTGCCTAAAACAACTTCCTGACCTATCACATTTATGGATATTCATGAAACTTGAAACACTAAATTCCAACCTTATAAAGTAAAGCTTTTAAAAGGCAAAAACTGCTGTGCCATCAACAAGTACTATTAGTTATAGTTGTGTCCCAAAAGAGAGCATTATACAGGTTCAGTAGACAATAAACTTCCATATTACATATATAATAGTATTCATTACTGAAGGACATATAGAAGAGTAAACAAAATAAACTACTCCCTTGTGTTCTATATATAGTATTATTATCTAAGTTAAATGCTTAGTAACAGTCAAGATCTAGTTAATGACAGGGTTAAGTTCCCTAGACCAGTGGCTCTAACTCTTGCTGCATATTAGAATCCTCTGGAGAGAGAGAGAGAGAGAGAGAGAGAGAGAGAGAGAGAGAGAGAGAGAGAGAAGATAGATATTTTAGGGCCTCCATGTAGACCAATTAAGTTAGAATCAAAGGTGGAGCTAACGATTAAAATTATTTTAAAAGTCCCCAGTATAGCCAGGTATGGTGGTGCACACTTGTAATCGCAGTAACTGAGGAGGCTAAGGCAGGAAGATATCAAGTTCAAAGCCAGCCTCAGCAACTTAGCAAGACCCTGTCTCAAAATAAAACAAAAAGGTCTGGGGATGTGGTTCAGTGGATAAGTGCCCCTGAGTCCAATCCCCAGTACCACCATCCCACTCTCCCACCCACTGCCGCCAAAAAAATTTCCCAGTAGAATCTAATGTGCAACTAGAACTGAGAGTCACTGCTATATACTGGCTTAAAACTTTGTGTACTTCGACAATTAATGTAAAAATCTATCATCCAAGAAAAACTTTCACTCTATGGAATGGCTGAAAATTATTATCTAACTTGCTGAACATGGGTTCTATGTGTGAATACTTACCTTGAATTTAAAGAACTGCTGCCCACTCCACCCCGCTCCCTGCCCCACCCATGAGCATGAGACATTACCAAGAAGCTCATACTACATTTCTTAGGCTGCTCTCTCTACCACCTCTCAAAATTCAGGCACTTACATTCCTCTTTACTCGGTGAATTTACATTCAGTTCTGTCGGAAGCGGCTGCTGGCTGGGACTAAGAGTTGGCGTGGTTATCGAGGTATTATCGTTGTCACTGGTGGTCTCTTCAGAAAACAAATCTGATTGGCTGTTACTTGTACTTGGAGCGGAATCATCGTCTGGTTGTTTCTTTTGAAAATCTTTAAAAAAAAGTGAGAATAACCACTTAATTAAGGAATTCACAGTCTGAGTATCAGAAAACAACGTAAGTTAACATAAAAATTAAATGTAACAATACCAATTAATAAAGTCTGATATGGGTAACTAAAAAATGGAAATAAAATACTGATCAAAACCATTGGTGGAGGGTGATTAGAATTAGTTTTCCAATGTTGAGAAGAATGGTAGACACTGATTTCAACGTTAGATTTTGCAAAGTGAAAGATGCATGTTACAACTTGAAGGATGATCAACAGAAGGAAAAAAAGGAATAAAGAGAAATTAAGTTGCTCTAACCAATAGAGAGCAGATCATAAGGAAAACAGTATCACAAAATAGTCAGGTAAATAGAAAACAGATAATATGGTAGAAGTAAGTTCAAATGTATCAGTAATGATACTAATATAAACAGGCTAAACTTATCAGCAAACACAAAAAATTCAGATTAAATAAATAACAAAGTCCAATTATGTTTAAAAGAGACATATTAAAAACATAGGGAGGACAGCCTTCTAGCAATTTTTTTATTTCTTAAGCTGGTAGTGGATACACAAATGTGATTATTATGTATATTCTCCTTATGTTTCATTTCAAAACATCTAATAATACTCTATGAAGTACAGATTATACTTTATCAATTCAGAGAAGTAAAAGATGATCTTTACAACTACACATAAATTATATTTTGAGTCACAGATAAGCCCCGGTTATCATGCTCTATAACTTCACCAGAATCAATGTTTTGACATATTCTGAGCATAAGAATTTCTAGCATTTATGATACATTGTCCATATGCCAGGCATTGAAATAAATGGGTGTGAATGTATGTGTGTGTGTGTGTGTGTGTATGACCAACCTTGCACATGACTGAGTAACACTCCCCAGCTGGGTGCTGAGGCGCTCAGTCACAGAAATGTGGCAGAGCTTTCTCCACCCTTCTTGGGTTCTAGGGTCGTGCATGGGTGTGTCTTGCTACAGCCCATGGGTGAAGCTACGCTCACCTGTTCCTTTGCAATATAACCCCTTGCCCTGTTAGGATAGAATCTTCCATGGAAGTGCCTTGTGTGTGTCCCCTCCTCTTATTGTGCCCTTGGGTGTGGCCTACCCAGGTGTCAGTCAACCTGCTGACAGTGGACATCATGAAGATACTCAGCCCCCTGAAACCTGACCCCTTGCCTCATTTGAATAGCTTCTCCTCAATAAAGGGGTCATCGTGCTCGCTCTCTCTCTTCCTGCAGACCCTTAAGGTCAGAAGAGCCATCACAGCAACCCCAAAGAAAAGGTATTCGTGTCTCTTGTGTGGTTATTTTGCGCAGCCCAGTCAGCCCAGTTCAACTGGAGTGACCCCTGAGCCTTTTAGTCGCAAAAACAGAAACCTAGTGCGCGCGCGTGCGCGCACGCTTGTGTGTGTGTGTGTGTGTGTGTGTGTGTGTGTATAATTTACATTAATTCTTAGGAAAACACAAGTCAGGTATTAACGACACCAAATTCTGTTCATAAAGAAACTGACTTTAGAACGTTTGGGCAATTTGCTCCAAGTTAACAGCTAACAAGTAAAAGGGGTAGGTCCATTTGACAACAAAGCTCACGGCCCTCAATCACAAACACAGGGTATAGAATGGTAAGCAGTAGACCAGCCGCAAAAGGGGCTTCCATGTCAAGCTTCCACCCATTCCAACACCAATGGTGAGTGCAATAAATTTGGCCTAAGTCTCTAACTTGCTATACTAAGGAGGAATCTAAGTGTCTACTGCTTCTTTTCTGGGTATTTACTTCTCCTAATTATTTTTTTATACTTCAATGTTTTGACATGTAAAATGATTAATCCTATCAATGTTATCTGTATAACATCATTAAGAAAAAGATACTGTACAAATGGAATAAATACTGCAACAACGACACTTCTTTATGTTAGGCCATTGCATTAGCTCTCTTATGTCAATAGTCATTGTGTTTCTCTCTCATAGCCACGTATCACTTAACTGGAAATGTCTTAAGGCCCTAAAAAAAAAATGAAACTGAGTCATCATTGTATTGTCTAGCACCATCCCCAAAGAAGGATGGTGAGACAGGCAGAAACATAAACAAACAGAAACTCACTTAGGCATAATAACCTTATGAAGTTGGTGTCTAAAGACACTGCTAGGTCCTACCCACAAAATTGTCAGCCCACATTTGCCATGTTCCTTGGATGCTCAGGTGCTTTTCTTCAAAAATTTACCTTCTTTTAACTCATGCTCCTGATATGCCTTTTTCACACCTCTACAGGGTGATGGTGTCAGAAACAAACCGTATTCATTATAAACCAAACTAGCTGTCCATAAAGGGAGCTGGTAGATAATCTATACATTTTATGCTTGAATTGAAACATTTTACTTCAGAAATGACTTTAAAGAGTCACCTCAATCCTTTCTTCTTACAGGAAAAGCAAACAAGAGATAAAAAAATTTATGTAACACATCAGAAATTTGGAGTTAGTCCTAAGAGTCTTCTAACTCCCTTGCCAATTATCAGTTTATGCAATACAAAGAATGTTTCCATTTGACAGACCTGGATTCAAATCCTGACTTTTCAGGGCATAAAGCTAAAAGCAACCGTTTAATCTTTGAGGGTCTTGTCTGTAAAACAAAGGGAGGGTAGTTATTCATACCTCTCAGGATAATGATAACTAAATAACAAAACATGCCTAAAGTATTTGGCACATGGATGTTCAATAATATGACAGCAATTAAAAATGAAAGGTATATTTCTACTTTTTGAATTTATTCTAATTAGTTATGCATGATAGCAGAATGCATTTCAATTCATTGTACACAAATGGAGCACATTTCTCTAGTTGTACCCGATGTAGAGTCACACCTACATGTGCAGTCACACATGTACCCAAGGTAATGATGTTCATCTCATTCTACCATCTTTCCTATCCCTCATACCCGCTTAACATTCTCTATCTCCTCTTTGCCCAGTCAAACTTCCTCCATTCTCCCCACAACCCTCCTATTATGGGTCAGCATCCAGTTATCAGAGAGAACATTCTGCATCTGTTTTTTGGGGATTGGCCTACTTATTAGCCTGATATTCTTTGACTCCATCCATTTACCTGCAAATGCCATAATTTTATTCTCCTTTTATGCACTCAGTAATATTCCATTGTGTATAGTTACCACAGTTTTTTTTTTTAAATCCAGTCATCTATTGAAGGGCATCTAGGTGGGTTCCACAGTTTAACAATTGTGAATTGTGCTGCTATAAACATTGAAGTGGCTGTATCCCTATAGTATGCTGTTTTTAAATCCTTTGAGTATAGACTAAAGACCGGGATAGCTGGGACAAATGGTTTTCCCATTCCAAGTTTTCTAAGGAATTTCAACACTGCTTTCCAGAGTGGTTGCACCAATTTGCAGTCCCACCAGCAATGTATAAGTGTACCTTTTTTCCCCACATCCTCGCCAACATTTATTGTTGCTTGTGTTATTGACAACTGCCATTCTGACTGGCGTGAGTGGAAATCTTAAGAGTAATTTTGATTTGCATTTCTCTAATTACTAGAGATGCTGAACATTTTTTCATATATTTGTTGATCGAATGAATATCTTCTGAGAAGTATCTGTTCAGCTCCTTAGCCCATTTATTGATTGGGTTGTTTGTTTTTCTGGTGTTTAGTCTTCTGAGTTCTTTACATATCCTGGAGATTAGTGCTCTATCTGATGTGTGTGTGGCAAAAATTTGCTCCCAAAATGTAGGCTCTCTCTTCACCTCATTCATTGATTGTTTTGCTGAGAAGAAGCGTTTTAGTTTTAATCCATCCCATTTATTGATCCTTGATTTTATTTCTTGTGCTTTAGGAGTCTTGTTAAGAAAGCTGGGGCCTAATCCGACATGATGAAGATTTGAGAGTACTATTTCTTCTATTAGGCGCAGGGTCTCTGGTCTAATTCCTAGATCCTTGATGCACTTTGAGTTGGGGTTTAGTTTCTACTTTAAAGAAAGGATCAGTAAAAAAGAATGGTTTCTTCTTTTGACTCTGACATTTGCAACCTTACTCTCTTGTGCCTTTCCTTCATCCAGCATCCAACCTTTGATCACTGCCAAAAAGAAGGGATGGATGAGGCAAGGAATTCTACCCTGGAAAGCAACATAGATGAAAAGTGCAGAAACCAACCACTTTATCTGATCCTGACACACAGTACAGATCTTTTCACTTATTATACAATTCTCATATAAAAGGGAAAACTAGAAAGCCCCAAGATAGTCCATTTCTATAAATGAGAAAAAATATGGGAATAATCATCTATTTTATACATTGGTGCTGTTTAAAGGTATATCCAAAGGTATAAGTTCATTCTTGAATAGAGCTGTAAATTAGAGAGGTTTATGAGAAGTCTTTTAAAACAAACTTGTTTGTAAATCTTGAGCAAAAACTTTTGCCCTTACTAAGAATGTTGTTCAAAAGCAAACAGCCAGGACTTTGTCAGCTTACTTTATTATTAACTAAGGGGAAAAATAATTTTATCAAAAAAGATACTTTTAAAATTGCTTTCTAGAAATGGAAGGTTTCCTCAAGATGGAGATAAGTTACTTACGGATGCTGGCTAAGGAAAAACAGCCAGTGGATTCCCTGGGTTTGCCTACCCACATACTTGTTGGACATCTTTTTCTCCATGTTTTCAGAATGATTTTTCACCAATCATTCTTCGCCAATCTTCTTACTATAAAATGTCCCTCTAAAATCTGGGACACTGTGAAAGCACTTTGCCCTGTGCTGCTAATAAGCCCATTCACCTGGGCAACTTTTCTGGAACTGTATCTTGCTCACCTTTGATGTGCATGTTGTTTCTCTCTTGGATATACTATATTTGGATTTGGCAAAATGCTTAGTTGGCTTACACGCCAATCCTCTACCAAATTATGACAATAATATATATATATATTAAAATGATTTTTTTCAAAGTAACCTGGAAAGACTTTCAGTGATTTCAA